GGAGGCCCGGAGCCACGTGTGTGCCGCTCCCCGCTCACCTGCACCGCACCTCCAGCCCCGCCCCGGCCCCCAGAGGGGCAGCCCCGCACGGAGCCGCCAGCGGGCGGGGAGGGGGCGGCCGCAGCCCCGGGCCCACCGCCTCAGGGCGCTCACGGGAGCCCCGCTCCGGGCCCGGAGCCGCCGGCCCACGTGCGAGGCCCGCGGGGCGCGGCCGCCCCCAACCCCGCCGTGCCAGGCCGCCACCCGCCGCGCACTACAACTCCCAGCAGCCCCCGCGCGGCGGCCCCGCGGAACCAGAGCCGTCGTCGCCGCGCTGCCCGCCGGGAATTGTAGTGCGGCCCCGCCCCCGCCTCACCATGTCTCCTGGTTGCTGAACTTCTTGGTCACCACCTTGCCCAGCTCCAGGCCCAGGCGGTCGGCGATCTTCTGCGACAGGTCCTGGTGCGAGCTCCCGCTGAAGATCTTGATGTTGGGCATGGCGGCGGCTGCGGCGGCGGGAGCGCTGCCCTCCTCCTTCCCCTCCTCCTGCTCCCCGCTCCGCCTCGCACCGCGGCCCGCTGCGGCGCTGGGATCCACCCGCCTCCTGCCAGGGGACGCGGCAAGGAGAGAGCAAGCCACGCCGGCCGCGGCTACTCCGCCATCTTACCCCTTCCCGCCAGCCGCGCGGATCCTTTATAGACTCCTCGCCCTCCAACGGACACGCCTTGGCGCTCTCTCATTGGCTAGGCGGCCGCCGGGGGCGGGCCTCGTCCCGACGCTCCAATGGCGTGAAAGGGCGGTGGGCGGGGCTTGGCCTGTCCTACCGATCGCCCAAACAACGGCCCTCGCTGGGGAGCAGCGAGGTGTGCGCGCGTGCTCCCCAAGTGGGCGGGGCGAAGGGCAGGAGGAGGCGTGTGATTGGCCGCTGCCTGCTCGCCTGCCCGGCGATTGGCCAGAGAGGCCACGGGGATGGAGGGGCGGCGGGGAGAGGGGAAGAGTTGGCCACGCGCTTGGCGCTCCCCCACCCCCCTCCAGCCGCCATGATGGATTCCGCCCCAGGGTTGGGAAGGGGCCGTGGCTGGGCGGGTGCCACGCACGGCAGATGCAGAGAACGGGAAGGGAAGGCCATGGCCCTTTGCCTCCAGATTGCTGCTAAAAATGTCTCGTTTCGATAATAAAGTAATAAACCATCAGTCAGATTGGCCGCCCAGTGCTCACATGGGATGGGTGGGCATTGCTGACAGCGTTGCTGCTGTTATTCCCTATGGACGACTCCTGCACTTCAGTCTGTTTTCATCATTCTTACCATATGGGCACTTCACGGTTCACAGTGGTTGGGGTTAATTGTGAGAGGAACCCCCCCGTGGCTGTGTGGTTGAGGCTTCTCCTCAATACAACCTTGGTTATCCTGTGGAATAATGCATTTCTGCGTCTAGATTTCAGTGATATTGCAAAAACAGCCTCAAGGCCTCTCCTCCCTACACACGGCCTGCAGGGGGTTTGAAGAATTTGGGGATGGATAACTTCCAGTCCTTGGCGTGTTTGATTCTGAGCCATTTCCTTCAGTCTTGGCTCAAATTGAGCTTTTATTTTCCCTGCACTGCAGATCCCTGCTCCTCCACAGCTCATTCCTGAGCCCTGCTCTGGGGATCCCAGGCTGGTGCACATTGGATCAACTCTCTCGGTTTCCCTTTTGCAGTCACAGTTTTGTCAGCTGCTGGGATCACAGGGATGGGATTGTCATACAAAAGATGAAATTAGATCCCCAATCTTCTAAACAGGGCCTCAACAACAACTCTCATTTCACACGGAGGGGTGTTTTCAGCATCTCCTGCTGCCTCCGGTGCTGCAGCCACCAGGACTTCTTCAGAGGGTATCCAACACGGCGGATACCAGGACAAAAGTCCATCCATCTTAACGATTTATTGTTCTTAGAACAGGATAATGAGAGGTTTTATTGAGGAGAAGCTTTTAAGCAGCCTGCAGCTAAGGCCCAGTTAAACAAAGCCAAGGAGCTTGCTCAAGAGGTTTGTCTCCGTCAGCTTTGAAGAGGGGTTTACCTCTGCCTTCAGCTAGATGCAGGCAGGGGTTGGGTGGCTGAAATCCAGTCTGGCCATCAAAGGGCACTCTGGAAAAGGTCTGCAGTTCGGTAAGGCTGGATGTGAAAGTGGATGGGAGTAGTTTTAAAGTGCCACACTGAACGTGCCTTGCTTCGGTTTGAAAGGCAAATGTCATAAACCGAATTACCTACTTCCAATCTAAGGAACTGTATTGAATTTCCATGTGGTTTACCTCATGGAGAGGCATTCGTTGGCTTTGGTGTTGGGAGGAACTATCCTGGAGCCTGAGCTGCTGTTTTCCCCTTTGGAAATACATTGGTGTCTGCCTGCAGGGATGCTGACAGCACAGCAGTGGCACTGCTCCCTTTTTATTTACCCAAAAGAGTGGAGGTTCTCTCAGTCAGAAATGGCGTTGTGTTCCGTGGCCTGGGAATGTATTTTCCAGGAAGTTTTAAGCGGCTCATTAACGCTATCGAATTTCACGGTGATGCCAGTCAAGACAAGTGGCCCTTTTCCCTCTCTTGGCACATTCCTGCATACAATTGCTGCTCAATCACCACCACTTCGTCAAGGACCTATTTCCATGGACCAAGTGTTTACAGAGAGTTTTGTTTTCCTTGTGGGCCATCCAGTTAATGAGTGACACTCAGCACAACTCTGCCCTTTGGTGCTGGAATTCACACATCCAACACCGTTCATTGCTGTGGGTCAGGGCCCACCTCCACTCTTGGGCTGTTCCGATGTCTCTCTCCTTTCCCATATTCTCACTTAACAATTCAGAAAATCTTATCGTGGGCTCCGAGTGCATTTCTGCTGGCTGCTTATTTTCTGCTGCTTCCCCACCTCTATCGTTTTTTCACAGGGATTATTTTCAGATAAATTCCCTTTCTGCTACTGCCAAACCCTCTAGGATCAAATGAGAGCTGTCTTGTTTCTGGATCCTTACTGACTCTATTAGAACACTCTATTCTTTCCTTTGAAGAGGAAAATCACTTAATTGTAGGTATCCCATTGGTTCCAAATGGGTTGTGTTTAGGCATGGAGGTCACCCATACTACCCAGCTACACACAGCATCACTGAACCAGAGTTCAGTTGTCAGGAAAAACGACTAAACCATAGGAAACGTGTTCCAGGCTGGATGTGGCTCTGGGCAGCCTGGTCTGCTGGTTGGCGACCCTGCACATAGCAGGGGTTGGAACTGGAGGATCATTGTGGTCCTTTACAACCAGGGCCATTCTATGATTCTATGATAAGAAGCAGTGCAGATTTGGAATTACAAGCTCATTAAAAGTCCTGCCTGGTCCCTTTGAATACTTTTCCTAATTTTTACTATGTGATTGCTACCCAAAAACAGAAGGATGGGGTTCAGCTGTTCCAGCAACAGGTGGATGTTATTCCTGTGCTGAAGTCTGCTGTTTGATCTCTTTGGATTTAGGAATATTTTCAAGGTTCTTTTCAAAGTGGGATTGGGTGGAACCTGCTAACATGCTCTGGGCTGTGGGCATCCACAGCTCTTTAGACTCTCATGGCTCACCTCAGGGCACACATCCAGAGAGCACTGGGAATTCTGCTGCTTTTAGCACAGCCTGTTTGCCTTTTAATGACTTTATAGTTCAGCTGCAGAGAACCACCCCGTTTGCTCCTTACCTGGGGAGCTGGGTGGGACACCATGCCCCGTGCAGGCTCCTTGGCTGCTAATGCCGTGGAATTACCTAGCCTGACACAGAACACATCTGGAAAGCAGCTTCCCAAAATCTGTACGGGTCATTTTCTAATATGGGATGGGAGGTGTGGACGAGCTGGGATAACTGCAGACTTTTCCCTTGTCCAGGTCAAAGCCGTGGGTGTCCCAGCCAGCTCTGCATTGCTCGGGATGCCTTATACAGGAGTGCAGCCCCGTGCTTTAAGTGAGGATAAAATCTTATTATTCATCATTTATCTTTGCATTGGCACAGCCTTGAGCCATCAGCTAGTAAGTGTTACGTGGATCGCTGCCTGCAGGAACGCAGACAGGTGCCCAACACAGTGAGGTCACTGCATAGCAGTGAGAGCAGGATGGTGATAAAGGCAGGGATGCACCTTCCTGGGGTGTGTGCTGGAACTGCTCCTCCCTTCTCACAGCTGTCCCCAGAGCCTACACAGACAGCAGCAGCATGTAAGGAATCATTCATTTCCACTGCCATGCTGATTGCCCACTAGATGGTACTGAGAGCTCAGCACCGGCTGCAGAGCTGCTGGTGGAGGTGCCGGCTGTCAGCGACGTTCTCAGGCTCTCTGTGGTGTTAAAGAACCTCTTGGCTTTTGCAAGGTTTCGATCCATCCCCAGCTTTATAAATAGTCGTCCCAGTCAGTGTCAAGCACCGTTTGTTATGTCAGCATGGGGAATGGTGTGATGTGGATTAAAATAACCAGCCTGGGGGCACGGAGAGTGTGTGTGAACTCAGGCTGCTGCTGTCTACACTTTAGACAACACATTCAGCCCCCGTACAGAACGTGGCCCAGTTCCTGAGGCTGTGTGTGCCCGATCTACATCAGACTTGGATGGTCCCTGCAGGCTGTAGGGTGTGCAGAGGGCACCATCAGCACTTTCTTCCTTGATGTCATGGCAGGCAAACCACGTCCCCAGTGCAACCTCACCTGTAGCTAGGAGACTGTTTGCACAGCTTTTGCATCAAGCCTGCCCTCCTTTCATAGCCCAGCACCGTCCATACGTGCATTTCTATAGCAACAAAAGGACGGGTGTTTGCTTGGGAGTGCTTTGCACAGAACAGCCCTACTTAAAAAAAATAATTAAAAAAAAAGACCCAACGTGCTCTTTTGGATATTAAGATGAATATATTTAATCTTTCTTGTTTGTAAAACAAGACATAAATTTGTGTATATATATATATAATTTATATATATATTTTTTATATATACTATATACAGACAATAAAAAAATTTTTTCCTCTGTATGAGACTGAGAGATTTATGGAGGAATGATGTAGGCATCACGGGGAGCTTGAGGAAACTTGGAGCTTTGTAATAGATAATTCAGGGGGAAAAGAAAACCACAGCTCCCTGTCGGCCTTCAGCATTACTACAGGCTCTGCCCACCGTGGACTGAAATCCAAATTGGCTCTTCCACTGTGTATTTGCTACATGGTTGTGGAAAGCAGGAGGCAGAAGGATCCCCTCTGCCTTCCTGACAGCAATGGCCAAAGCCCGTTATTGCACTTGGTAGAGGATGCGCACGTTAAAAAGCACATTGTGCACTTCCATAGCTCTTATGGAAGAACGAGAGATTTCAAATGTGCATATTTATTAAAAAAAAAAAATAAATAAGAACAGGGATGGGAAATGATAGATCCTGTGGAGATCCCTGGCCACGTGCTCAGCCAGCCACGGGGCAAGCTCGTGGGCTTTGGCAGCCCTTCCCCCTCCTGCTGTGATCTCCCCTTCAGCCTGAGATGGGTGCAGGGAGCACAGGGAGCCCCGTGTGCATGAGGTGTGTTGGGCGGCACGGCGAGGTCCATGCGATGCTTAACCTTGCATTTTCTCCTCCTGGCTGCTGTGTTTCGGGGGGTGGGTGAGTGCACTGAAGCACCAGTTAAGGCGGTCTGATTGATCAGGTCTAGAAGCTAGATTGGGAGGAGGAGGGCAGCCCCCGGGGTGTGAAGGAAAGCGATTAGGAGCTGTTTTACTATTCATCTAAAAGTAAAAAATTAAAGAAAGGAAAATCAAACAAACAAAAATCCCAACCCGACTCTGAATAAATAACCATTAGGTGGTACTAAGTAATGTTCCTCATGGCAGTCAGTCCAGTGAAGACAGAAGAAGGCTCCGAGCCCCTGGTGAGGAGGGCAGGAGCAGCACTGCCTGGCTCAGGAGGAAGCCGTGCCTCAGACCAACCCGACCTGGGCTCCTCTCCCGTGGGCACTGTGAAAGGAAGCGGGAGGAGAGGGGCTGGGCTGAGCCTCCAAGGCACAGACCTGCTCTGGAGAATGGCATGGAAGAGGTCTCCTCTCAGCTGCTAGCCCAGCTGCTGGCTTGCACTGGTCACACAGCGATCCGGGTCTCTGCAGGCTTCCTAGAATGAACACGGCCATCCAGCAGAGGATGGGGAACGACTCCCTGCTCACACAGCATTGAGCTGCTGCCTTTCTCAGGCAGTGCCCGTGTACAGGACTGGGCCATCGGTGCCTAAGCTGTGGGAGTAGAGCCTGCTGGAGGACCTAGCCTCGTCCTAGGAACACGGCATCCTCCCCACTGCTAGGCTTTCCCAAGCCTTAGTGCAGCAGCAGGGAGCTGCATCCCAGAGATGCCTTCTGCTGCTGATTACATTGCATCTGTGGGCCAGGAAGACCCTGGAGGCAGAAGAGCTGTTTACGTGGCAAGACACTGGTTTGGCTCCAACCGGACTGCTGCCCAAGTGAAGCCGGGCGGCGTCAGCTCAGTCCCTGCTCACTGCTGGTCACCACGCACCGTGACACAGGGGACAGTGCCAACTCTTTGCACGAGGGAGGCCCAGAACCACTCAAAACCCAGTGAGTGTGGTAATGGGATGACTGTGCCTCCCGAGTGCCGGAGGACAAGCGGTGCAGCTGCTTGGGACCCCTGACACGCCGTCTGCACAGCCTGCAACGAGGCGTGAATTTCCCTTTCCAAACACCATCAATGTTACCATCCCTTCTGTTGAGAAACAACGTCTTTTTCTTTACTGTGGACCTCAGCAGGCGTGGGCTTTCCCTGCAGACGGACAGACAGACGGACATCCTCACCAGACCTACGCGATACAAGAACCACTGACACACAGCCCGGCACACACTGGCCTGCTGGCTTTTGCGGCTGGTTTACTTATTGATCAGTGTCTTTAGGGAGCGTGTGAGCGTGCTCATAACAGTGGCAACCGTGGCGGACTGACGGGCGAGCTGCTCCACCGTCTGCTGGTGGCTCAACATTCTGGCCGTGGATTCCTCCGCCGCCCGCAGGAGGAAGGTGTAATTTCTCACCACTTCCTCCACCTTCGTCAGCAGCTCTTGGCGCTGGGACTCCGAGCGCACGATGTACACCAACCTCACGAACGTCTCGATGAGGCTGCTTAGCACCTGGAAGCTGCTCGTGATGGCGGACAGCATGTGGGTAGGGCTTTTGTCAACGGCTGCCACGCGGCGGCAGGACGCCCGGAACTCCTTGAACTTAAGGGCGAGCTCTTGCTTGTACTCAGCCAGTTGGGAGATGTAGAGTTTGCAGTCCCGGACGTCAGGGCTCACCACGCACTGCCGCAGGATGGTCAGGAGTTCATTGGTATCCAGCTGCACTTGCAGAAAGCCATTGGGCAAGCTGTAGACGTGGCCTCGAAGGATGTTGATCTTTGCCAAGCTCCCCTCAAAAGTGGAGGTCCTTAAATCTATTTCCTGGGTTTGACTGTCGTTGGGACTGCTGCAGGCTGTGGCATCGAGGACTTGAAGTGTCCTGCTCATCACCGGGACCATCTGGTTGTCCAGCTTCATTCCCGGCAGTATCTGCATGGGGATGGAATAGGACAGCTCATCCTTCTCGCTCCCATCATCCGCAACATCACATTTCCTGTAGTAGAAGCAATACCGGATGGAGCAGCACTTCTCATCCTCCACGTCTTCATCCCGCAGCTCTGCAGGACTTGGATACAGCTCCTCCTGGACAGAGAACACCGCCGAACCTTTCTGGTTCTTTTTCTCCTGTGCTATTTGGACATAGGATGGATCAGCCACCCCAGCGGCTTCCTGGATTTTGCTCTTCAGAACAGGACAAAGGATGCTGGGCTCAGACTCCTTCTGAGGACCTTTCTGCTTGGCCGGGTAGATGTTCTGGTTGATGTCAGAGGACAGGGATGTCCTATCAGTCTTATCTAATTCACTGACACTGTAGCGACGCAAGAGCTTCTTGTACTGCGGAGCTCCCATGCATTCCCCTCGGGAAGCACACGTTGTCAGACAGGACACGTCGTTTTCTGGATCTGACCGGTAGTCCCTGGACTCTAAGCTCGTCGATCGTATCCTCTTGCCTTTGGAAGGGCTGCTCATGCTTGTCAACCTAATGGCTTCTGCTTGCTGCTGGTCATCAGTGACCTTATCCCTGCCGTGCCTCTCCAGTTCTGGCATCACCAGCTGGCTGGGGGGTGGTCTCACGCCCCTGCAAATCCGCTTGCAGTCACAGCTGCGCCTTTGCTCCCTGGACATCCCTGGGACTTTTTGCACAGGACTGCTCCTTAGCTGGCAGCTGCAGCGCCCAGGGGCAGGAGGGTGCAGGTACTCCTGTGGTGGGAGGTCACCTTTGCTCTTTGGCTTGAGCAGCTCTTCCAGGAACTCCAGTTCATACTGCTTCACTTTCTGCAGCTGAGCCTGCCGCTCGTCTGTCTCCTTCTTCAGCCGGGTAGGAAACGTAGCAGAAAACAGGTTCCTCAACCTGAAGGGAGCTTTTGGAGCTTTGGGTTTAGCTGGGACATCAACATCTGCCTGGGTGGCCTCCAGGATCTTGTCAACTTTTTTGGAAGGCACAGTGCTGATCTGCAGGCTCTCAGACCTGGGCACCAGCTGGATTGGCCCCTTGGAATCCTCACTGGTGCTCCTGAAAATGCCAGCAGGTGATGCAGAGTGCAGATTGCTGCTCTCAGCTTTTAAGCTTTTGGCTGAACTTTCCTGTTGCGTTTTCTCTGCTTGGTTTGAAGGAGCCATGTGTTTTTGAAATATGAGACTCATGGCTTCCCCCCCTGCCTTCTGACCGGGCTCTCCGCTCGCTGCTTTTCCCGGGGTATCTCTACTCACCTTTTGCTGGAAACTTTTAGAGGCAAAACTCTTACCAGGCATCGTTTCTTCACCTCCTGAGGTGGGATGCAAAGCTTCAGCTTTACTGCTATGAGCTTCTATAGGACTCGGAGAAGCTTCACTATACTGCTGCTGAGAGAGTTGCTGTTGCTGCTGACAGTGGCACAGCGGCTCTGCAGTTAGCTGACCTCCTTTCAGTTTCAAAGGCTTGTTGCTGGCTGATACACAGCCACCGGTCCCATTCATGGTCTTGTCTTCTTTTGATGCTGCTCCCACTTGAGGGGCTGAGCCTTTAGCATTTGCCACTTGCTGCAGAGCAGCTGAAATGATGGCTGGAGTCACACCGCTTTTCTGATCCAGGAGGAGTTTGGGGCTCGGCAGAACTTCTTTGGGCATCTTCTCTTGTAGATCCTGTGACTGCTCTCTGTTCGGTGCAGCTGTGGTATGCAGAGGTCCCTCAAAGGCAGCTTTTGTGTGGCCTGTACCCCTACATTCAGAGCCTGGTACCGGAGCTCCTCTGTTCTGCTCGCTGCGCTGGGAGGTGAGCACCGGCTGGGCAGCCACGGTGTAACTCTGCTCAACATTCTGCTGCTCCTGTTTGCTCTTGCAGTTGGTAAGGCTGGGATTTGGGTGAGAAAAAGCTGGCTTCGCTGAGGAGCTTGTCTCCTGGCGGGTGAGGGCGTATGGCGAGGTGAGGACAGCCTGGGCAGCACAGCTCTGGATTCGGAAAGGCAAATCCTTTCTGGCCAGGAGGTTCTCTTTGTTGATGTGCTGAGCGAGGAAGTAGGCTGCGTTCTGGTGCTGCTTCATAGCAGAGACCATCTCTGAGACATCGGTGAGCTCTGAGGAGTTGGTCTCGTGGCCAGAATCCAAGGATGACTCAGGTGTGATGGCAGCCAGGACGATGAGACCTGGGGAGGGACACAAAGAAAGCCCCACAACAATGCTTGTGCCACACCACTGTGGGGAAGAGAAAGGAACCCACTGCAGCAGGAAGGCCCCCGTGCAGCAAGCAGCAGGATCCCATGGGAGACCATTTAGTCGCTCCCCCCAAGTAAGAGTTAATTCATTTAAGAGATCATTTGTCAGCACGGAGCTGGCTTGCTAGCTCCATTCACCTCTTGGCCCGGGAAGAGGTCTTGGGAAGGGTTCCAGTGCGAGAGTGAGAGCAGGGCTGCAGGGAGGTCTGTGGAGCAAGAAGGGAAACCTGACAGCAGCTGCTGTGCCACAGTGAGAGGGCAGCAGAGGGAGGGGAGAGCCGTGCTGCGGGGCTGCCTGGTTCAGAGCCTGCAGCGTGCCCTGGGCAGAGCTCACCCCGCAGGAGCTGGGCGCCGGCCTGCGAAGGCTGAGGGACGTATGGGAGAACAAAGGGAAGCGTGAAAGGAAGGACGTGCTGTAGGAAAAAAAGGTGAAAAGGGAAAAAGAAAGGCACGGTCAATCCGCTACCTGCTGTCTGCTGCGGCGGGGGATGCGGGCAGTCCTCAGAAGCAGCCAGAGCTTCCAGCGCCTGCAGGGTGGACACCAGGGCATCGTCCAGCTCCTGGGCATGGTCCCGCACCGTCCGCGTCTGCACGCTGTCTATCAGCGTGACGGGGATCTCGTCGTACAGGATGCTGCACAGGTGCCGGCTCTGCTCCTGGCCCTGCGCGGCCGCCCGGCGTTTGGGGTCGTCCTCATCCGAGCTGTTGTCTCGGAAGCCGGGCGGCGGGGCGGCGATGGCGGGGAGCAGAGCCGTGGCCTCATCCTCTTCCTCATCGCTACCGGGAGGAGGGAGGGACATCAGGTCCACCATGTTGTCACGGGCGCCGCCGGCTTTGCGCGAGGCCAGCCGGCTCCTGAGCTTGGCCTTGCAGGACTCGCAGTAGAAGTGGGCGGCGTCGCCCCGCGGGTGCGTGTCGATGGTGTGTGCCCGGGCACGGCTGGCGTGCCGCTCGCGCTCCGGGCCGTCGGGGTCACGTTCGTTGGCCACCCCATCGTAGCCTTGGCCGGAGCTCTTGGATGTGGGGTCAGATTTGGTCCTGGGCCGCGTTTCCTCGAAAAAGATCAGGTTTTCATTGATATCCGTCCTGCTCTCTCTCTCCTTCCTCTGCTCTCGCATGTGCAGGTAGCAAAAGCTGACGAGCTCCGGGTCCGAGGCGCGGGCCGCCCGAGGCCTGCCGGGGGGGGGGCTGCCGGTATGGCCCCCCACGAACCCGCCCTCCTTCTTTCCAGCGTGCCCCGCCGCCGCGGGCCGGGGGAGGTGGTGTGAGTCCATGTAATCTAAAGCCAAAGCACAGCAGGGCGTCAGGAGCAGCAGCGGGCGGAGGGGAGATGAGGACGGGAGAGCTGCTGCCCACCCAGTGGGTTCCGCGCGCTCTCTGCCCTCTGTCCTCCATAAACACGGGGGTGATGGAGGCATCGGCCTCCCCACTGAACGTGGGTTATTAACGCAAAGCTGCTGGGTGTGTTTCAGCGTGGCTTTTATGTGAGTCTGGCAAAGGCTGGCACAGCTTGATGGATGTGGGAGCAGCTGAGCCTCAGCCAGCAAAAGCCCACGGCACGCCGACAGAACGCGCTGCTTCCTGGGGCTCTGCAGCGACCACACAGCTAAACCACGGACATTTCATGGCGTTAAATATTATGGCATTTAAGATGGGAAAGTCTCAACCCTAAAGCTGTTTTTTCTTTTTTCTTTCCGCTGGGAATCGATCGGTGACATCACAGACCTGCAGCACAACCGACCACTGCCCTTTTTTGAACCGCCTTCAGATGCTGCAAGATCTCCGTGTTCCTGCCTCCCCACCTCCCCACACGTCTCTGTTTTAAACAAGCCACAGCGAATTCCTTTAACCTTTCCTGACAGATCTGTTTCCTAACTGCATCGGCTTGCTTTCAGCTCCCAGCTGGGCTCAGTCCAGGCTGGCCAGCTGAACAAACAGCTTGTCTCTGTGCTGCACAGCAAGCTCCTTTGCAGGGAGGCAGGAGGGGGGCTGCCCAGCACAGCCAGCACCCCAACCTAGGGCTGCCTCTTCCAGCCACCACTGGTACTCAGAGGGCGATGGGAGCAGTGTGTCTGCATGCGTGAATGAGGACCTTCAGCCTCACCCTCACTTTTCATGAGTGAGATGGCAAAAAGGAATTACCCTCACCATTTTCGCATCACATTGGTCACACCAAGCTGTCATACTCAGCCACTTCTGCAGCGAGCCCAGCAGCATGCTGCTAAACGTGATGCAGTATTGCTCTGCTCCTTATTGAGCATTTGGCTGTGATGGGCTCCTATTGCTCCTCTCTATGCAAGGCAAGCAGCTGAAACACTGCCCCAGCTGGCCAGTGGTCCAACCCCCCCTGGAGGGGCCTCTGTGTGTAGGGCTGAATTGTGCAGCTGTGCTGAGAGAGGCTGCCAGGGGGATGCAGGCTCCATCTTAGCAAGTGTAAATTAAATCAAATAAATCCTAATTAAATTCATTAGCTCAACAAATTGGACCATTTGTCTCCCCAAACACACGTTTGTATTGTAGTGTTCATCACCTGCAGTGCTAAAATTTGAATCAAAACAATCTCACTCTCGTTTATGGCCGTGCTGGTGCTCAGGGAAAGCAGTTGGGTGATAGCATGCAATGCTGCTGCTGGTGGGCACTGTTAGCAGTGGGTTACGTGGATCAAGGCAGAGAAGAAAGGACCATCCATGCAGTCCTGCAGTGTGCCAGAGCTCACGTACACCAGCCTCTCCCTGCTGAGTGGGGCTTTTGCTGGCTGCCCACTCCTGAGCAAAGCCAGAATCTGTAAAATCTGTAATCCAGCTGCTCTCTCTGGGAGGGAAAGTCCTGGTAAAGAGCTGAGATAGCACCCAGGTGCTGCTCTCATGATCTGTGCTGGGGGGCTGCAAAGGGAGGAAGGGGCAGGAGGGCGAATTGCTGCATTGGGGAGGGCAGAGGTCTGTGCAGCTCTGCAGGGAAATGCTGAGAGTGGGATTTAACTGACAGCATCCAGAGCCAACGCGCATTTCTAAGCAGGACTGCAGTTCAGCAGGAGGGTTTAATGCGCCTCTGGGAAGATGGATGTGCTCTGCTCCAAGGCAAAAGCACAGAGCGGGGCTTGATGTGGTGCTTCAGATTCTGGCAAAGCCTGCCTGCAGCCTGGGAAGTCAAAGCCTGGGCAAACTTGATTTATCCCAGCGGGACTTTCTTATCATTCCTACAGAGATGTGCTGATGACCAGCAGACCGTGCTCCTGGTAAGCTGCTTGGCTCCTGGCAGCTCAGTCTGCAGCCAGACCAGGACCAGGACCAGTCAGCAGACTTTGTTTTCTCAATGCTAAGTAATCCTCCTCTCCAAAACGATGCCCGAGTGCCTCGCCTGAGCGTACTGGGTGTACAGAGAGAGGGGCCAGCATGAAGAGCAGGGATCCCTTGGCTCCATCCCTGTCCTACCACACCGTCACTCTTCCAGCCCCCATGCGGTGTGACATTGCTTTCCTGTGACTTTCAAGAAAAGGGCAGGACCTACTGCATCTCCTGGTTTGGGCTCTGTATCATGAGGCAAAATCTCACTGAGGAAAGACACTGGCTGTTATCACTGTCACTGGAAAGTGGAAAAGCACCTCCTGAGTGTGCTGAGACATCCCCAGGCAAGCTGTGACTGCGGCAGCCCTTGGTCTTCTGCGATGCTCTCCACTTCCCACTGCATTCCCCAAGCCCCACAGCCCCCTGAGGACCACCCCCAGATGACAGATGACTGGGGAGGGAGTGCTCTGACAACAGCAGGTTCATTTGGAAGCACCCTTCACTCCTACCAAAGGGGACTGGGTTTATGTAGGACACCCAGAGCAGAGAGCACGGTGGCAGCTGTTAACAAGAGGCGCAGGTTGAAGAGACAGAAGGAAACCATGCTCACATACTCACACCGACATCACTGCCAGGTCTGTTCCTGGATGTGCTGGGGTTGCTGGAGGTGCCTTCCTGGTTCCTCCTGGTGTGTCCTCCTCTGGTGCCCACTCCGCATCCAGGTGCCCTCCTCACACCTCAGGGCACCAGCTCCGTTCCCCAGGGACCCTGCTAGTTCTCAGCACCTCCCTTGGCTATATCCACTTCCAGGGGACAGTTTTGGCACACCCCAGCCAAACTGCAGCTCTTGGCACGCAGAGGGGGAGGGCACCTCCTGTCTCCCCACAGATGGCAGTGGGGAGCATCTCCAGCCACTGAGCCCATCTTCTGTGTTTCCTTACACCAAATGGAGTAACAGCATGTAACTCCTGGCTGGCTCCCATTTGAAATCCTCCTTGACAATAATTGCTGCTGATTGACAGCTGAAATCTGTCCTCAAGGAACAGAGCAAACAGAGTGCCTGGTGGGACTGTCTGTGTCCCTGCAGCAGGCTGGGACCCTGCGAAGCTGAGACCCCAAATTCCCTTCCAGCTGTATGAATTCAGCAGCACAACAGAGTCACCTGGGTCTGCTCTAGGAGCCACCAGAGTGACACTCAGTGCTTTGCATTTGCTAGGCAGCAGAAGGGGCCACTGCACAGCCAGGGACTACAGCTGCCAGCTCACACTTGATTAAGTGAGAGCTTTGCAAAGCGAGGACGTTTTGCTGCTCAGAGCGGGCTGCTGGTGCTGCAGCGACAGGAGCAGAGATGCTGGAGGAACCCACCTCCTTCCTGCCCAGGGTTAGGGGTGGAGGAGGTGAGGAAGGGGCTGGCACGGAAAGCAGAGGCTGAACCGTACCTGCCTTGATAATCTGAGGTGGTGGGGGCTGGCTGGGCGGCCTGGAGAATATCATCTTCTTGGAGTCCACCAGGAGACGGCAGTAACCTGCGATCAGGCAGGCAAAGTTGGTGGCTTCGGGCCACTCCATCAGCAGCACCAGCGGCTGGAAGGCAAGAGAGGCACGGCGTGAGGCTCGGCCGGAGGGCTGTCACTGGTATCACGGGGAGCTGGACGCCAGGAGGAGCGGCAAGGTGCACAGCTGTGCTCTGGTCACAGAATCACAGAATGGCACCGGTTGGAAGGGACCTCAAGGATCGTGAATCTCCAAACCCCACCAGGAATCTCCACTGCATCCCCACGGTGCTGCAGTGCAGATGAAAGAGGTGAAAGCTGCTGTGGGGTCCGTGGCAGAATCTTGATTTACTGTGTGCCAATGCTGAGCCCACCTGCAAGTACCAGCATTAATCACCAGGCCCCAGAGGTTCTGTTCAGTCTCCAGCTACCAGAACCCCAGGTTCACTGCAGGCACCACACTGCTCTCCCATACACCAATACGTCTGCATCCACTGAGCTGCAGAAGGGGCAAAACTCCATTTCAACCCCCTCCCCCCCAGCCACTGCTTTGAGCCTGTGGATCTTACTTAAAAGTAACCCTTCAGAAAATTCAATCTGTGCCTGGGAGCAGATGGTGTCTTCTGTTTTAGGAGAGCATTGATTTGCACGCCAAAAAAGGTCTTTGCTTTCAAGAGAGGAAAAAAAAAAAACCCAAACAGATGCAATGTCACAACGCAGTGCAGCTGGGCACAAGGCCGCCAGCCCCACACCACGTCCCCATGGGGTGGGAGGAAAGGAGCCCCTGCCTGGCTGCTGTGTGAAGTGAGGATGAGAAATAAAGCGACACGGCAACGAGCCGTGCCATCAGAGAGCAAACCCAAGGTGACTCGGATCAGAGGGAAGGGACTGAGGCAGAAGGGAGGATGAGGGGGCAGCATCCAGCGGTGGGGAGGGGGATGCCAGCTCCGAGCCCAGCTTTGGGCTTGACATAAGTGATGAAAGGTAACCATGTGTTCCAGTTCCGCCATATGAAACCTTCCTTAAAACAAGTGCTTCCTACCCAGGGCTGAGCCTCCTGGGTTGTTTTCAAGCCATCTGTTGAATGAGGAGACATTTGCACATTTTTCCCCCTCTGTTATGCAGCAGTGCGAGAAATGAGATCGAAGCAAACACGGAGATGAGAGCGGCAGAGGCTGACATCCTGCACCTGGGGCTTTGCTGGGGCTCCCGTGCCATCCCTTGGGATGGTCCTGCAGGGCAGGCTGGGTGCTGGGACCCTGCCCCATGCTGCTGTGCCCTTGGGATGAAGGCATTCTACACCACACTGTGAGCATTCAGAACACCAACGAGCAGATCCACTGTGTGACACGCAAGTAATGGTTCACTTCAGTCCAATAACAGGCCATGAAAAGGAGTGTGATTTAGAGAGAAAGCTCCTTCTACCTCTCCATCCATAACTGCAGCCTGAAATTATTCACGTTTTGATCTTTCACTCATACTCACATTCTGGATTTTCCAGTCTTAATGAGCAAAGGGTGTTTCTTGCACTGAGTTTCCTGCTTGGCAACCAATCTCTCCACGAAGTAAAACAAAATAAATTTATCCTGGATAGCAGAGACAGGTTCTGCATTAGCTTATTAAGGATATGGCACTTTTCCTATTACGCACCGCCTTTAAATCAAAGCGCGGTGTCCTGAAGGGTACCCTCTCATTCAGACAAAGGTGAAGGTTTTGTAGAAGAATGCTCGGATGGAATTTTATGGCCAGGGTTGTGCTGGAGGACCGTAACAGCCCTGACGTTTCAATTAATTTATGAGCCGATCCTATAAAAACCCTTAAGCTGATGTGTGTTTCCTGTTAATCTTCCCCTTTTATCCACACATTTGATCTTAAGCTGCTTCCCCCTATGCAGCACAGGAGAAAGTTGGGATATGAATTCACATAATTTATGTTCCCTGCTTACCCACGGTGTTCTGCCAAGTTTGTGTTTAATAACACAGCACCGGGGCCTAACGAGACAGCAGTCAATTTCTCACTTGCACACGACCTTCCCTTCCCTCCCCTTACACATTATTAACTCAGCTCCATCGTTAAGGGGCTTGCTGCGATTAGCACCATTATTTCTCATTTGCTGATCAGTACAGCTGCACGTGCATCACACGAGTGGCTCAGTGCTGCTCTGGGTACCTCTGCATTGCCCATTTTGTAGTTGCTTCCCCCCCTACCCCAATGCTCAAGGTCGGTCTGTCTGCTCTTCTTCCTTTTAACAAACAACTCAAGTTTGGCTTCGCAGCCCCTGTGCAGCCATCTCCTGCCTGCAGCTCATACCCCTGTCAGCTCCCACCCCCATCCCGAGCCAGGCTGATGCTGCGGGCTGCTGCGTGCTCACCATTCAACGTTGCCCAAAGGGCCCTGCATGCAGAAAGCATCGCATTTGCAGCTCCCCACCCCAGCAATGAGACAAAGGAGATCTCAGCCTCGCGGCTTTCCGGAACGCTTTAGTGCAATGAGAACTAATCAGATTAATTTAGCTTTGGGAAGCAGAGCCTTTAGGTTTGGCATCACTCTAAAGCTTCGCTTTTTGCATGGATGAAATCTGATGGCTCCGCTCGCTGTTTGCATAGCTCAATGGGGCTCCCCTTGGATTTCACACCAGCAAATGCACAGCCACCCCCCCCCCAGCCCCAGCATTCCCCTTTTTTGGAGGGCAGAGCGGGGCCATGCAGGAGGGCAGGAGCAGCTCTGCCATGTGGGAAGCCAGGCAGGCTGCAGCTGGATGTGCGGTGATCTTTTGTCTCCATCGCAGCCTGGAAGCACGCCTGGTACCCCTGGGATGCTGAAATCAATAGCCAGATTCCAGGCATGGCAGCAGCTGGGGGACACTTCTGAATTAATTTTTCCTTTGTTTTCCTCTGCCGAATCCTTGATCCTGGCTAAACTGGTGGTTGGTCCTGCTGGGGGATGCGAAGCCAATTACCCCCGTGCCTGTAATTAAATGGTGTGGGCCAGCAGCCAGACACCATGCAGCTCCAGCTCTGTTCTTGAGGGGTTCATCCTCACCAGTATCAATCCTGCAGCAGCTGGAGCTGTGTGGGCAGGGCTGTGGCCAGCAGCCAGGGGCTGGATGTGGGGAGATGGCTCTGATGTCCCCAGATGTCCCCCCACCACAGAAGGGCTGGCAGGAGTGTGAGGAACCCCGTGTCCCTGCTGTTTCCAGGGACATCCCAAGAAGTACAAAGCCCAGCCCAGCAAACCAAGCATTAAATGCATACAGACCACAGGAGGCCTTCAGTGCCACCATCTTGTCCCCAGCAAATCTGCAAGTGCCAGAACCAAGGCTCAACCCCAGCAAGTCTGCGCTGAAACCATTCCTGGGCCCTGCAGCACAGACCCTGGGGCTTTCCAGCTGCACCTCTGCTCCTGCCAGCATCTGGTTCCCCTTGCCACTCCTCTGCCACCACTGCAGCTGTGAGCAGCGAAAGGGAGCAGAGCAGAGGCACTGTTGGGCTCTGCATCCAGAACAGGCTGAAGCACCAACTGAAGCCCAGGATGGAAAAGCTCCAAAGCAAAGCTATTACTACCCAGTGCATTATTTATAAGACAAACACCATGTTTCCTCCTGAACTAAACACGAATGGTTTGTGATCTCCTCGAGCCCACTTGTTGCCTGGAAATCTTCCCCAGCTCCTTCCTGGCCAGCAGGTCTGGGCTGGGGATGCGGGTGAAGGCAATTGGGTGGCATTAGCTGTGGGCTGCTCCTCGTCCTGGCCCCTTTTTTAACACACACGATCAGCAGTGCAATGCCAAAACCCAGTAAGCAGCTGTGGTGGCTGCAGTACAGACCCAGGCTGCCCATATCCTGCCTGTGGGGTGTCCCACACACCTCTGTGTGAGGTGCAGAGCTCCCACATCTCAGGGACGTGGGGCAGATTCCACTGCAGGTCCCCAGAGGAGTGGGGCCCTGACTCACAGCACGGCCCTCTGCCAGTCTGCGGATCGTGGAGGAAACAGATTTATTTGCAGCCCCATGTTTTAGCCAGCGACACGTTCTGTACAATAGAGTAATTGCAGTAAGCAGATTAGTGCTTCAAGGTAATGATCTTTTTGCCAACTTTCCTTAGCCCGCCTCATCCATCTCTGTCCCCAGTGGGATTAGCATATGCCTCATTTTGGAGCAGACATTCTGGCTTTAAAACCCAGCCCTTTGCGTAGCGCTTAAATGAAGACAGATAGCAGCAGGCCGTGCCCTGCTTTGTGCTGCCGAGCCTCACCCACAGCCTGCTCTCCCCTGCAGACACAGGCAGGGGGGTTTTGGAAGCTGGGGGCAGCTGGCTGTGCTTTCTCAGGGAGATAAAGCAGTGTGTGTACGTGCCCATGGGAAGGTGCATGGGAGAGCTGCCATCTATCAAGTACAAGGTAGACGGGGAGGATGTGGAGAAAGGCTGCTCCTCCAGCAGGTACAGACCCATATCCCTCACTTCCTGCCCCCGTGGCACAGGCAGGGCCAAGGAATCCCTTTTATCACTGCGATAGGAAAGGGTTCTTTGAGACCCCAGAAATCCCCGAGCAGCCACTGCAGCAACCAACCCGCGCTGCTGTTCCCTGCCCCTACCCCCCATTGCCGGTCCCCACGATGTCCCACAATTGCCCACCTTGGCATCCAGGATGCTGGTTTCCACCCGGGCCACCCCCTGGTTCTCCCGGAACAGCTGGATCTTGCTGACCTTGCTGAACTCTGACAGCACGGTGGTGAGGTTGGTCTTCAGGTCGATGACGTGGCTGATGCCGTGCCGGGGGCCCACCAGCAGCGTGGTGGCTGGCTGCTTCTCGTCCTGGGTGCGACAGACAGACAGACAGATGTGAATAAATGCATCCCTGGGTCAGGGCTTGGGGCAGAGCTAGCCCTGAGGGAGAGGCAGCACCAGGACCCATCCCTGAGCTTCTCTGCAGAGCTGACAGCAGCACACATGGTGCCAGGGCCATTTCAGTTTCGAGCACTGCACTGACTGTCTGCATGAAATATTCAGGCCTGCTGGTGTCACTACAGCAGAGTAAGAGCATGTTACAAATCTGCCTGATCTGACACCGCCGCCGAGGGAGGGGAGCAGAGGAGGGAGCGAGGGACTGAATGCATTTAGAAGAGAAGAAAGACTGAAGGCTTTGTCGGAAATAGAGATCTTTCTTGTTCTGCTCTGCCCAGCGAGGATGCTCTATGGAGACCCAGAGGTGAGGAGGAGCTGGGCAGGCTGGTGCAGAAGAGAATAAGGGAATATTTTTTTTTACCACTCAGGTTGCAGTTCATATGGCTGAATAGATGGTTCATCTCCCAGCCTGGTTCACTCAGCAGACTTAGAGGCTTTGGTGTCAGAGGGGCAAGAAAAATTTAGGCACCTCCACAAAGGGCAGTTTTTCCAATGCTTTGCACGCAGGCAGGGTTGGGGGCATGGCTCCAGCCACAGAACTAACGTGATAACAGTGTGGTTATTGACCAATGCAATATGGTGTGTCCTTATTTCTTAGGAGCTCTGAGGCACGCTGGAAAAAACATCCATCAAAGACTGCAAGAAATTAAAGCTGGGGGGGGCAAAGCCAGGGAGCTGCTGAGCACTTGGGTGGGGGTGGGAGGGCAGGATGGCAGAGATGACACTTACATGGAGTCCCCTGGATGGTAGGTGGAGCGAGAGATGGAGATGGAGAGGTGAGGCAGGCAGCGAGGAGCCTATGCAGGTCCTCTGTTCTCCTGTTTGGCTTGGTGGCTTTCCTCCTGCCATGGAGAAAGTGAGGTGGCTTGGGTGAGAGATGGAGATGCTTCTGATGGAGGTGAAGGAGGAGTGAGGTGACAGCTTGAAGAGCCACCAAGCAGCAGTGGGACTGGGCTCATGGGGGTGGTGAGGCTGGATGAGCTATTTCCTGCTTGGACAAAAAGGGGACGGGTGGCCTTTGCCAAGAATCACTCTCATCCCAGTGAGAAACCAGCCTGCCCAGTGCCAGAGTGCTGCGAAGAGCATCCCAGCCAGATGGTGTGGACGGGGAACTGGAGGGATGTGAGTGTGGCACTACTGCAGCTGCACAGAGGTGCCAGCCCCTCCCAGCCCAAGCTACCATACCAGTCCCACGGTGCTGAAGAGAACCCCGGCGAAGGTGGGCAGCTCGTTCAGGATCCTCAGGTACTGCAGCTTTGCTTGGGCAGTGGAGACCTGGCCAAACACATCACACCGGCCATCACCACCACCTCCATGGCCACGTTGTCCCCCCACCGGCCACAAGAGCTCACCTTGGTGCCTCCAGGCTGGTTCTGGTGGGCTTTGAGCTGCTGGGAGAGCGATTTGCGGAGGCTCTTCTCCTTGACAAGCTGCAGCAGAGAGGGAGGCAGGAAGGGCTCCAGACCCCACTCCTTCCTGTGGGAAGATGTGAGGATGGAGACTCAGAGCTGCCCAGCTGGGGCACCCCACGCACTGAGGGGACAAGGATGGGGTTCCCCCACATGCCATCACCCTCCATCTGCACCCAAGGAGCTTTGTATGGACTGAAGAGCACGGGGCAGTTATGGCAGGGCTGAGCCACGGCTGCGAGGCTGGGACTGCGCAGCCACAGTGGCTTCTCCTTGCCTCTGATGCCAAGTGGGAAATCAGCCCGGGTTCCCATGGAGATGCTCCTGGCATGCATCTCCCCCAGCCCTGGCAAGGCTGAGCGCGTGGGCCCTGCGTGCTACGGGGAGAGGGACTCACTCCACGTTCTTGAGGGAGACCTTCTGGCTGGGCCGCGTGGCCGCCACGGTGATGTAGATGTGGAGGGCAGCCAGCCCCAGCAGCATCTCCGGCTTGGGGTCCATGCCAAAGCGCTCTCTGATCACGTCGTTGCGGCTCTGTGGTGAGGAGAAGTGTCCTCAGAGACCCATGGGGATGGGGCACCTGCCACCCTCCGCTCATGGGGAAGGAGCACGTTGAGTGCGATGGGGGGAAGCATTGTGAGGGCATCCTTGTCCCTACCTGGATGTAGAGGTACTCGAAGGCTGCCGGATCCCTGCGCAGCAGTTCCACTGGGTCTTTGGGGAAGAAGCTGACACGGAAGAGGCACCTCATGCCGTGGTAGTGCGTCCTCTGCACAACCTGGAGCAGATTGGGCAGTGAGCCCACGGGGCAAGCCCTGAGCTCCATCCTTTGGGAGAGGAACAACGCCGTGGGCTGAACCACCCCGATACCCTCCAGCCCCCAGAGGCTTACGTGGGCCAGGGGCTGCTTGTCCTGGAGCAGCAGGAAGCGATGGTTCTGCTCTGGGCTCGAGTACTCCAGGACCAGGGCGAAGTGCTCGATGTGCCTCAGGGACAGGCGGTCCTGCAATGTCACCATCACGTCCTGCAAATGTCACAGATGGGCTTGGGTGAGAAGCAGCAGCTCCCTCTTCACAGGGGGCTGCAGTATGCATTGCATCAGGATGGCTGCTGCATGGTGGCAGCCCGGAGGCAGCTGAGTTCTGCCACTGTGGTCGTGCAAGGAAGCAAAAGGCTGAGAAAAATGGAGGAAAATGGAGAAGGGGGGCATCGATGTTGTGCTGGGGGAGGAGGGGGCAGGGGACCCACCTTCACGGTGGTTCGGCCATCGAATGTGAAGGACTTGATCTGCCCGTTCTCCAGAAAAACTTTCAGCACATTGGGAATGAGGAGGAGAGCTTCCTTCTTCAACATGTCCTGGAGGCAGGAGAGCAGGAGGAGGCAGAGGGAACAACTGTCAGTGATGAAGCATTGATGGTATTCTCTGCTTCCCTGAGTCTCCATGCTCAGAGGCACATTTCCCTTGAAAACCCATTGTCTCTGCGGAGTGTTTAACAGCACAGAGCTCGAGTGATTCAGCACTGCCTGATGGAGTCACCTGCCTGCTGCCAGCCGCAGTGGGAACCCAGCAGTATTTTGGCCAGGCACATCCCGGTGGGTGCCAGAGCTGCCTGGCAGGAGGGAGTGCTGGGAGAGCTCAGGGCTGACCCCCATTCCCAAACCCCTTTCCCAGCCCCTCCCCCTGCACGAGCACAAGCAGAAATGCTCAGGCCAGCTCACCCCTCAAGGGAGCTCCTTCAAAGCCTTTTGCCCTGGGCTTGGAGCCAGAACCCTTCCTTGGGTGGGTGCTGGCACTGCCCAGCGCCACTGATGGATGCCCAGAGGACCTCGAGTGGGAGCAGCTTTCTGTGGTAGCCTTTGGGGCTCCATCACAGAGGGGTGCAAGGGAAGAACAGCAGGCAGCACTTACTGGGTCCGTCTCGCCGACCGTCACCTGCTCTGAAAAGCGGACCTTTGCTGGGTTGGACCTCAGCTTTGCTTTCTTGGCTGCGCTGATGAAAGCGGATTTGGGGGACTGGAAAGAGAGCGAGAGGTAAATGGGTGTAAATGGTCCCTCCTCCCATGATGAGCTCCATGGGGCCCCTGCTGCCCGCTCTCACCTGGTGTGTGTGCAGGACCGTGAGGATGATGAAGTCTTTGGCCTTCCTGCGACAGAAAGGAGAAGTGAAGGAGGACGGCTTTGCTCAACATTCGGCCATGGCGAGCGCTCAGCCCTCCCAGGGAGGACGATGGACAAGGTGCTGCCCTCACCTGACGAGCTCAATGAACCTCTCTCTGGGGGCTTCGCTCACGTCCTCATCGTTGATGGCCAAAATCTGGTCTCCTGGCAGCAGTTTGTCCTCAGAGGGGCCACCTGCAGGGAGAGAGTGTCAGCACTGATCTGACCCAGGCGTGCTACTGCCAGCCAGAACGGCGGGATCCCAGCCACCTCCATAGCATTTATCCCCGCACACAGCCATGGAGAGACTCTATGGACTCACCAGAGGGGACGGGAACATGGGGAGGGGGCTCTCCCAGCACACCCTACCTGCTGCCACCGAGCGCACCACCACGGGCTTCTCACTGCCGGCCACAAAGCCGAATCCGTAGCGGGGATGGCGCAGGACCGTCACCTGTCGGAGCGTGTCCGAAGGCAGCTGCCCACATTCCATATCATCGCCACACTCCTCCGGCATCACATGGCTGCAGAGCACAGAGGAGAGAGCAGGATGTAACACACGCCTGCTGCAAAAGCTGCTGCCCCTCACCATCCAGAGGATCCTGCCAATGGCAGCTCGGTGGGTGGCACCCTGAAGGTCCATCGCATCACCCCGTCCCATCCCAGCATCTCAGCCCAGCAATTCTTTCTGTCCCTAATCTCAGATGCCCCCATGCAGACCCTTGCAACCTTTCGTCCGGGTGGAATCTAATCCTAAAAGATCTGGATTAGGGCAGGCTCAGCCCTGGCTTCTCACAGAACTGAGTCTCCATCACCGGCCCTCATACAGCTGGGGCTGCGGCCGTCAGCGAGCAGGGAGCAGAGCTGGCGTGGGGCACAAAACCAAAGAGATGAGCATGCTGCTGTGTCTGTGCTGCTCACTGCTCGTTCCTGCCCAGACTATTTAGCCTGCTTAAAAAAGATCCTTCCCGGTCCTTTTTGGCAACACGTCAATTGTTCCGTCTCTTATCAGTTTAGGGCTTGACGCATCACCAGTCTAATCCAATCTGTCTGCATTTCTGACAGCCCCCTCCTGCTGCCAGCGCTGCGTGTTGGACCAGAGGGCACAGAGCAGCACCAGGGCACACACTGGCAGCCAAGCACCCCGAAGCTCTGAAGGAGCAGCTCTGGCTCCATCCCAGGGTAGGAACCGCAGAGAGGACGCGGTGCTCCTGCGGGAGCTTCCCAATGGGATGCAGCATCCCAACTCCCCCGCTGTGGGCTCTGTGCTGCCTCGTTAACTGCTCTGCTGTTCCCCACGAGCATTTCAAAAGAAGGAAAAAAAAAAAAAAACAAAAAACCACACAACAAAAAAACAAGCAATAATTGTGTGAAGCGCACAATTCCGCCAATTTTCTTAAGTGGACGTTATCCAAAGCCATTGTCTGCTGCTGAAAAGTCTGCTGAACGTAACGCTGCATCTCCGGCACGCCTGGCAGAGCCAGGGAGGACGCCTGCAGTTTGCAGGGAGGGAGCAGGCTGCGGGAGACAGCAGAGCTGCTGGGCTGAGCAAAGCCCTCCCTGCGCTGCCCCAAACCTCCCCCTGCAGCCCCCAGCCTCACCCTTATGACCCCCAGCAGCACGAGGGCCTGTACTATCATCCGATGGTACAACAAACACAGGGATGCTCAGCACAATTGGAAACTGAGGCAGGGGTGTGCAAAGTCATCGGCAGGTCCTGCAGTCACAGCTGTGCAGCTAAAGCTGTTGGGTCTCCAGATCTGTCGTGGTGCATGCTGGCTGGCTGCAAAGTGGGAACTCTGCATCACCCCACGGCCACAGTGCACACATCAGCCCTGCTAAGCCTGCAGCTCCCAGAGGAACAGCCGCTGAATTACCATCAGAAAAAGGTGAGCAGGGAAATCTCTGCAGCTTAAAAGGACAAAAGGAGAAAAGCGCGCCTCATTCCAGCCATAACCAGGTCTGCCATCCAGTGCTCAAGGAAAGAGGGGAATAAAGCTCTGATACTGACAATAAAACTCCTTTCCCAGGCTCTTAAGCTGCTCCTCTCCTGATAAGACTTTGATGCTGCAGAAGCATTACCAGGAAATTAAATAAAAGAGGACCGGTGTCCTCATGAGCACGACTTATCTGCCCTGGCAGAGCAGCAGCCTGCCCACCAGTGGGCACAACACGCCTGTCCAGCACCCCAGCTCTGATCACCCTTCCCGTGCTGGGCTGAGGGCACAGCACTTGCTTACCCTACACCACAGTGGTTGCACATCACCATGGGACCTGCCTTCAGCTGCCACACACCTGCCAGCACTGCTCATTTCCCCCACAGATACACACAGACGCGATGTGTGCATTTCTCATTTCCTACTACAATAAATCTGCTCCCTCCAAGGACTTTCTACCTCTGCTTTTAGTGCTGACCAGTAGGACGAAGCACCAGAACAAAGCAGTGCCTGGTCTGAAGCAGGAGCTCTGCATCTGCACTTGCACTGCATGCCAACAGGATGGCACCATTGGAAAACACGCTCTGCAGCTCAAGGAATAGTTCCTATCACCGCCACTGAGAAACAAAAAAAAAACAACAAAGCTCTTAAAACAGGCTGGGAGCACTCAGATAGATGTTCACACCAATTTGGTTCAAGTATTCTCTAAATTAAACAAATGCTAAAGTGTTTGGCTGGCTCTGGCTCAATGCACAGAGCACGGGAGAAGTTCCCCCTCCCATGCCCAGCTGTGCTGTGCTGGCAGACCCCTCCTGTCCCAGCAGGAGAGGGCAGAAACATCATGGAATGCAGCAGGGTGAGAAGGCACAGCTGCATCCCCAGCTCTGGGTAGGGCAGCAAGAAAAAGGTGGGAGGGAGAGGTTCTAGCCCCTCAGTAGTGGCTGGGTGGGTGCACACTGCACAGACGGAGCTCCAGGACTGGGTGCCAGCTCTCCTCCCCCTTCCTGTGCTGCCACAAACAGCCGAGAACAAACAGAGCCTTTGGATTCCCGTCCCTCCTGCTGCAGAGCTCTGCCCGGCTCCTCCATCTGCTGGGCTGCAGTTGGTGAACGGCTTGTGAGGCATGTGGGATCCTGAGTGTGTGTGCAAGAGGCAGGAAATGCCATGGAATGGGCCAAGAGCTGTTTTATGGGGAGCATATGGCAGCTCCAGCCCTGCACGCTGGTCTCCAACCCAGAGGGAGCCCACAGCACTCCTACAGCTGGGGACCAGCAGCAGGACAGGCAGAGCTGGATGGGGACAGCTAAAGAAGGCAGCGACCCAGGCTTCACGTCTGAGTTCTACAAGGATGCTGCACGTAGCCCTGCCACATGGCCTGGAGCTTTGTTACCCCACGTGCTCTGTCTATGATTGCACTTTTGGTGTTAGGGAGCAATTTATAAACCAGCAGAGCTCTTCACAAGGGCTCACCAGGTTCAGCATCACTGCTGGAGCCGGGTCTGTACTGGTACAGACTTGTGTCAAGCCAGGTGCCAGGTGGTGACTGTTCCAAGGGAGAAATGCTTGGGTTTTTTAGGGCAGGAACAAGCAGGCGGTGAGCAGCATCCCTGGAGCTGCCAGAGGAGCCAGTAAGGCAGCCAAACACAGCTGTAAATAAGAAAGCAGCAGACACAGCTCTCTGCTGCTCAGCCTGCAGCTTCATAAATGGTACTGGCATCTGGGCGAGAGGCAGAGGGCAGGAGGGAGCTCTGCCAAGTAGGAACTGCAGGAGCTGTGAAAGCATTGAGGGTGGTGGAGAGGGGAGGAGATGGGTTCAGACTCCTCACCCCCCCCCAGAAGGGAGGTTTTGCCTGCTGCTGCCTGGGTGCAGAAGGGAAGTGGGAGAGGAGCCATTCCCAGAGAAACACTGGTAATTAACACAAAATACAGCCAGCAGAGATGGCTGCACCCAACCTCCAGAGAGGCGCAGGTCAATGGAAAAAACAGCTTCTGCACAGGGAGAGGCTGCACCAACCTGAGTGCTGTGAAGCCCTTTGAAAACATACAGAAGCATTACAGACAATGAGGAGAGCTGCCCCCACGGCACCTTGCAAAGGCAGATGTCCACAAACAGCATTTTCCCCCACTAAGTGAAAGGCTGGGAGAGGAGATGCGGAAAAGGGAACAGAAAGGAGGCTGTAAAGACAGGCTGACCCCCGGCAGGGAGCCAGCACCACGTGGGAGCGAAGGGCATCAGCACAATAAGGTTTAAAACATGCAAAAAAAAAAAAAAGGGCTTTGCCACCCAGCCTGGAACTCGCTGCCCTGAGTTGCTGGGGGGGGGCTGTAAATTCAAGTGGGTGTGAAAAGCAATTTCCAGCTACTAAAGCCCTGAGGCTCAACATCTGCTTCTGGAGCTGCTGCACTACTGCACTGTGCCAGAACCTGGGGGGGATTTTCCAGCAGGATGAGCCAGCAGGGATGACCCCCTCCCCACGCCTGCCCACCAGCTGTGTACCCACCTGCACGTATCTGGCTGCTGCTGCTGTGGGCTCCTCGAGGCGCATGCGAGCGTGGCAGGGATGTGGCCCCACGTGCACCAGTCCCAGAGCTTTCACCAGGCAGCTGTGCCCAAGGGCAGGTGCTGGTTGGTGGCACCACGGGGCAGATGGACCCTGCAAGGACAAAGAACGTGTGTGTGAGATGCTGATGCATGGGGACAAGCCAGCATCCCGTGCCACCTGTCTGAGTGCCTCCCATAGACATCAAGCTGCTTCATCTGTGTGGGGTTTCCACACTGCTGCAGACTTTGTTTTCCTATATATGCAAATTGCTTTTATCTGGGGGCTCCCAGCGTTTTCTCCTCCCATTCTCCTTACAATTTTTGGCTATTGAAGAGATTTTGTTCTCCTCAGACATACAGAAGCACCTTGCTGAGAAGAGGATCAAAGCAAAATCTCTCTGAAACACTATCAGGAGGCAGGGGAGCTGCTGCCACGAGGCTGCCAGCAAAACCCTTCCAGTATTTAAGGATTATAAACAGAAGGAGAATCAACTTTTTACATGGGTAGATGGTGATAGGACAAGGGGAAATGGTTTTAAGTTGAACGAGAGAAGATTGAGGTTGGATGTCAGGGGGAAGTTCTTTACAGAGAGAATGGTGAGGTGCTGGAACAGCTGCCCAGAGAGGCTGTGGATGCCCAGTCCATCCCTGGAGGTGTTCAGGACCAGGTTGGATGGGGCCCTGGGCAGCCTGGGCTGGTTCCACATCTGGAGGTTGGTGTCCCTGCCTGTGGCAGGGGGGTTGGAACTTGATGATCCTTGAGGTGCCTTCCAACCCAAGCTATTCTATGGTTCAGTGAAACCCCACTGAGCAGATCCCAGCTGGCTGTGTGGGGCCGGGCTGTCCTGGCTGGGGCTGAGATGCTGCGTTGGCCCCAGGGATGAAGGCAGCGCTCCTCTTCTCCCTGCCAGGCAAAGGCATTGCCCTCGCCATCGCCAATTTCCAGGCTCTCACCTGCAGACCAGTTGCCCAGTGGGCACCCACACATCCCCTTGTTGTGGCATTGGTTTTCCTTCTCCCTTTCCCCTCAGGTCTCACTCACTCACAAGTTGGTGTAGACGCACGGCGCTTGGTGCTCCGGGGGCTGCAGCGGGAGGCTCGGACGTGGCACCTCTCTTGGTGGCTCAGGCAGCAGCGTCTGCAAAGAGGGGAGATGGCCCTGTGTCACCAGCAGTGCTGCTGGCAGCCAGTCCCAAGCAGTGGTGGCCAGACCCAAGCAGTGGTGGCCAGACCTATGGGCTGCCAGCCATGTGCAG